ATTTATTTCTTGGGCACTTAGGCCATAAGTTCATCTTTTCGGTTACTGGGACCAAACTCTACTCTCTTTTGGCCAAAAGGACACAATTTGTTCAAAAAGGCAATTATAGGTTGAAATCAACTTATTTGTCTTTTTGTTGAAATTTACTAAATTAATTATCTGTTGAAATATGACATGTCTTACTAATTCAACAATTTGTCTATTAAATATCACACATTTTTGCATCTCACTACCACCACTACGGCCGCAAATGAACAGAGCTGTTCATGAACAAGTTCGAGCTCGGCTCGGTAAGAGCTCGTTCGAACTCGGTTCGTTAATTTTTTTTGCCGTTCGAGCTCGAACTCGAGCTCGTTAAATTTTTAATAAACAAGCCTAAACATTCTGAAGCTCGGCTCGTAAGCTCAGTTCGTTAGCTGGCTCGCTTAATATTTATTAATTATATATTAAATAATATAAAAATATGTATAAAAAATAAGATAAATATGTTATTTATATATTTAAAAAATATAAATGTAAATATGCTATATTATAATAAGTATGGTTAGTAGATATTATTTATTTTAGTAAAATATGGATTTTTTTTAGTATGTTTATATATATTGTATATATAATGTTAAATCAAAGTTTTAATTGTAACTTAGTCTCACATGTAAGTATGAATTTATAAATTTTTTGGCTCATTAAGGTTTCGCCGAAACAGGATCTGCCAGTGCTTACTAGAGTCGGGCCTAAGCCAACTCGGCTCGAGCTCGGTTCGTTAAATTTTTATTCAGCTCGAGCTCGTTAAAATCTTAATAAACAAGTCCAAACACACCAAAGCTCAGCTCGGCTCGTTTACAGCCCTAACCACCACCTATTGTCGCTAGTCACCGGCAACTTTCCCAGCCAATTTTCTTGCGTTGACCAATTTTTCGACATATCTTTATCACTACATATGATTTTATCCTGATCTAATGTTTTATATTCCTTTGAGATGGACTATTCACTAATTTCCTCTTTTTGTCTTTGGGTCTGTAAAACCGCAAGGAGCTATGCAACGTGGAGTATCATTTCCCTCAGTCATCACCCAGTAATCCGGGAGATTATTTGATAATTTGACTTATTTGTATGCCACTGTATAGCAAAAGGACACATAATTATTTTATTTAAATTATTAGAGAAAAAGTAATAAAAATTAATTACATAACCACACGAAAAAAATAATAGTAATTAATAAACAAATAAGGATAGAATATAAAGTGAACTAGATAATCTCTACTCTAAAGCCAATGAAGGGAGAATTCGCGAAAGAAAAAAAGCTTTGGAAGCTCTAATTGAGCAGCTCCAATCCATCATTAATGATATGAAATGAACCATATGAAGGGAGGACTCACACTCCTCTCTCTATTCTCTCTCTCTTCTACCTCATTAGAGGTCAAAATGAGGTGATGTATCTCTTCAACAAAAAGGCTTTGGGAGCATTTAGCGAGACTTTTCAAATCTTTCCATTTCAATAAAGTTTATGGATGCCAAAAAATGTTAGAAAGATCTAATTTATCATATTTAAAAAATCACCTCTAATGATGTGTCTTACAAGTATTAAATTTTGATTTGTCAAATATTTCATCATGTAGAGCCTAATCTTAATGTTACATCATTAGAGATAATTTAAGAGTGATAAATTAAAAGGATGTAACATTATTGTTGGAATTGACTCCTCACCAACTTTGACATAGTCTTGTCATGTTTGGCTTGAATTTTTAAAATTATTTTTAGAATTTTTTTAAAATGTAGAAATTAATTTGATAAAAATAAATATTAAAAAAAATAGGATTTTTAGATTATAGACTTTGATATTAAGACTTTATAAGATAAATGACATGTAATATTTTCATAGTAGTTGAGGTCCCTCAATATTTTTGCAGAGAAATTTCGGCACAGAATGGAGAAATTTCAACTCTTCAAAAAGAAATTTTATAAAAAAATTTCAGCTCGTCACACAGAAAAAATTTTCAATGACGAGCTAAAATTTCTCTAATAATATTATTGAGAGATCTTAATTAATAAATAATAATATTTTCATAGTAGTTGGGGTCCTTCAATATTTTTGCAGAGAAATTTCGGCACAGAATGGAGAAATTTCAACTCTTCAAAAAGAAATTTTATAAAAAAATTTCAGCTCGTCACACAGAAAAAATTTTCAATGACGAGCTAAAATTTCTCTAATAATATTATTGAGAGATCTTAATTAATAAATAAAACATAATAGACCTCTTCTATTACCAAAAGTTTGAGAGTGATGTTCGCTAATTTTCCCAAAACATATGTTAAAACTTTTAAAAATTATTTTTATCTTTTCAAAAAATAAAATTATATAAAAATAATAAATATTTTTTATTTTTCATTTTTTTCAACAATTTAATTTAATATTATTTTAAAACAAATTTTTTAAAACCAAATCAAACATTACGATTTTCACGTTTTGCCTTTTTAAATTGACTTCTCACCAACTTTGATGGACAATCATTATTTTTTTTCAACTCTTTATTTATTTGATAATATTTTCAAAGTCCTCCCCTTTAGAAAAAGTTAGGAGGCAGCTTCTAAAATGCCTTTGCAAATGACTTTTCATTGGTATTTGATAATTTAACTTAGCATTTAAAATTAAATATATTAAGTAAAAATTAATTAAATCAATTTGATAATCACAATTGATATCACTTAAAATTTAAATAATTCTCAAAATGTAAGATAAAAAGAAAAAAAATTAAGTAATATAAAACTTATTTAATTTTGACTAAATTTATAAATATAAACATAACTATCAGCATGTACTATTATAAGGTTTTGGTTATGCTTGTTGGAAAGGATTAGAGAGGGATTAGACTAAAGCCCCGTTTGTTTCAAGTGATATAGATGAGGGGATTGAACTAGGATAGATGTGGAATCTACTAAAAGTGTGTTTGTTTGCAAAATAGGGAATGCAATTCATATTCCCTGAGGACAATGATGGACTGGAAGAGGGAATTAGCAAAGGCCTCCAAGGAAAAAGTTTTGTATATCAATAGATCATGGTTGATTCACAAGATTAATAGTGAAGTATTAATAATTTTATTAAATTAGTGTGGTATTTACTATCCAATTGGATTAATAAACCCACCCCTACCCCATTACTAATAATCTTACAAATTTGTTAGATTAATTATCCATTAGATTAATAATCCTAAACCAAAATGTTAAAATAAACATAGGATAATTGGGCCAACGGATTAATAATCTCAATTTCATGCTCTAATCCACCCAATCAAACATGCCCATGAGGTACTAAGTGGCACTATCTTTCCAAAGGTTAGGTTTCAAAACTAGTAAGGGAATTGGCTTGGAAAAAGATTGTTTTGCCCATGTTGTGTGTTGTGTGTTACTGTGTATTTTTTTTTTTTGTAGTATTATGTCATTATATATATATGTGTGTGCGTTAAAATAATATAATACAAAAAAAATATTTTTAAAAATAATTTTTAATATTAAAATATATCAAAAACACTAAAGGGTATTTATGGTATTTAATATAGTTAATTCCTTTACTAAAATATATCACAAACAAAAATAATTTTTCTTGGTCCCTTCAACGACAATTCCCACACTAATAATCCCTTTACTAAGAGTTTCCACACTAACAATCTCACCCAACCTAACTCTAAAAATAAATGGGCCCTAAGGGACATGCAAGGCACGCTGTTTAGGTTTTATCTACTCTAGTCTGACATTTGCTTGGCCATATTGCTAGTGTGGATCAAACTGCTAATCTTTGATTATAAAAGTCTATCCAATTCTACCCTTGGGACAATTATTCCTCCTCCAGATTATCTTTTCCCCAAGGTAAAAAAATAATTTTTCAAAGCTTCTGCCATTTTTATTGTGTATAATCTCATCTAACAATTTCGCAGTATCAAAACAAAAATATGTGAAACCTATAGTTTTACTTATTCGCATATTTCCTAATCCTATTTCCAAAACAAACATGCCCTTTAGACTGGACATAATCCTAAGATGTCATCCTAAGATTGTTCCAGATATTAAACAATAGCATTGATAGGGGAAAAAAATTGGTTGTTATGCATCCCTAATGCTTCACATCCCAAGTTCTTATGGAAATCTTATGCATCAGAGTATGCTTAAAATCTGCTCCTATAAACAACATTTAAAAAAAAAATTAGCAATTTATTATTTGTATCACAGTTTTGTTCAACAAAGTTTATGTGATATTTGTCAGGTTGTTGGACTACCATTGCCCTCAAAACTGGTTTTGGGCAGTTGTTAAGAGCAGAATGACCACTCACAAATGCTTTGTTCTTTCAGTTTTGATTTCTTCTTTTAAAATAATTTTCTTATTATGAAAATGTTGCAGTATACTAACAAAATTTTCATATAAAAAATTTATTCAGAAAAATGTGAGTGGTTTATTATTATTATTATTATTATTCCAAATGATGAGTCTTTTATTTTGAAATTATGGAATCATAATTAACGATATCATTCTTTGTCAAAAAAAGTATACATATTTCTTTTGGAAATATTATTAGAGAATCTCAGAGTATGAATGTGACATTATCTACATTGTACTCTCAGGTAATAAGAAACCACAAAGCACACTAAGATTGTCTTTGGATCATGGATTTGGATAAGAATTTGCAAAGGAAAAGCAAAAGGCGATGGAAATATCAATTTATATTTGATTCACATTTAACTCGCCTTTTCTTTTTATTTTCCAAAACCATGATCCAAACACATCATAAGGAGGTCATCATTTGTCTCTACGTAGCTAACAAATATGGAACATATTCTATCCATAAAAATTTTAACTATATATGACTGGTTTTGAAGTATTACATAAAAATTTTAACTATATACTTGTGTTTCACTCAGAAATTTACTCGGCGTTTTTCACTCAGAAATTTACTCGGCAAGTATGTGATTGGTTCTCTCTAGTACGCTAATCAGAGACAGAGAAAAACGCCATGAATCAACAAGTAAATCAACAAGTGCTTAACAAGCAGGATGGTGGCTGGACCCTAGTAGTAAAGCAGAGAGGAAGACATTCAAATCAAGTTGGGCTGAAGGAAGGTAGGCGAGTAGGGATGTACACTCTTTTTGTGGATAACCTACCAGAGTCAATGGATCCAAGGAGTATGTACTCTTTGTTCCTAAAATTTGGCGTAGTTAAGGATGTTTTCAATCCACACAAGAGGAGGAAAACAACAAACACAAGATTTGGCTTTGTTCGCTTTAACTGTCCTGTTGCAGCCAGTGTAGCAGAACAAAAGGCCAACGGAATATGGGTAGATGACAAAGCCTTGATAGTCCATAGTGCAGTATATGGAAAAGAAAAAGGAGACCAGATGAGGTGGAAACAAGTACAGAGGAGGCAACTGGAGTTAAGAAGACCAGCAGATAAAACTGGACCCACAAGGTGGAATCAAGGCATTGATGGCAGGTCGTATGTAGAGGTCATCAAAGGAGCCTAACCAAGAGGTCAACACACTACTACAATCAAAGTTGAAGAAATAGGAAACGGCTGGCTGTATGAGAGCATGATTATGAGGCTTAAACCCGATCACTCTGCTATGGAGGTACAAGAAAAACTCAAAGAACAAGATATGAAGGATGTAAGAGTGAGAGCTGGAGGAGGGCGTGATGTAGTCCTATCGTTCAACTCTGTGGAGGCTCTGAAGAGTACAACCAGCAAGCTTAATGTTTGGTTCCAGGACTGGTGTGAGTACATCACAGAGTGGACAGTAGGTATGCAACTCCAACAGGAGAGGTCTGTTTGGATTAGCTGTTACGGTGTACCTCTGAATCTTTGGAGTTCCAATACCTTCACAAAGATTGGCCATCTTTGGGGGGAAGTGCTACAATTAGATGGAGATATTTGTGAGCCCGCTTCTTTCTGTTGTGGGAAGATTAAAATAGTTACAGGTGCTATGGATCTGATCAATACATGTATCAATCTAGAATGCAAAGGTAGAGTATACCCCATAAGAGTTTGTGAGGAACAGATTATCAATGAGGTATCATCCTGTGGTAAAGGAATCAACAATGAAGATGGTGAAGAGGGTGTTAGCTCCAATACTAAAAAGGTGTCACAGTCAACTGCAGAGAGCAAGAGGGAGGGAGAAGAAGCTGACAAGGATGGGGAGGTGGAGGCTGACATGGCAAAAAAAAATCATACGGTAAAAGGTGTTTCTACTTCTAAGCTGAAAGAGGGAAGTGAGGGGGAGATAGGTGACAGTTGTATTCAAATATCAGTGATGAAAGAGACTGAAGAGTGCATAGGGAAATCAACTGAAACAGGTTCAGGCGTGGGTGAAACAATGATGGAAGTGGAAGGTCTACAGCAGCAACAGCTACAAACGTGCAGTCATGCTTTGGAAAAAGGTGCTGAGATTCAAAAAGAGGAGGGGCAGGCAGCCACAAAAGGCTTTATCAGAAGCTTAAGTGAAACCCAAAAGTTAAGGCCTGGAATTCATTTGGAGGTTGCTTTGGGCCAAGAACATTTAAATTCCCAGCCCATTGAGCTAGTCCATTGCAAGTCCAGTAGTAATGAAGGTGGACTCAAAGGGGAGGGTTATAATTCAAACTCCAATGATACAATTAGTGATTCTATTAGTGGTTCCATCAACAACCAGACTAACCAAGGCCCAAGGCCAGTGACCACAAAAGGAGGGCCTAAATATCCTCTGGCAGTAGGTGGGTTCTCTGGGCTGATTAGGAGAATTGGGCAGGAAACTGTGGGAGCAAGAAGAAGAAAGGTTCATCAGAAAAAGATGGTGCCCAGATCTGAAGCAGAGCCAAGGCCAAATGCAGCTATCTGTCAGCATTCTTGTGAATCAGATAAATTAATAGAAGCTCAGGCAGCAGTTCGTTTGGGGAAAAGCTTGGGGATTGACTTTAAAGGCCAAGAAGAAGAAATTATTAATAAAATTACACAACTAGAGGAGGAAGAAAGGACAAGAGTTGGAGGGGGGACTGAAGCAGCCTCGAAAGCAGATATGATGGGAGGCTACAGAGATGAAAAATGTTGCTATGAAGATACTAAGCTGGAATATTAGAGGAGTGGGTAGACCTAAGAAAATGAGAAAGATCAAGACTCTACTGTTTGATAGGAGAATTGATATGGTTTTGATGCAAGAAACCAAGAGGTCAAGCTTGAACAATCTGGTGGCTAGAAGTTTGTGGCCAAGAGAAAAGATGGAAATCATGGCAGTGGATGCAATAGGTGCGGCAGGTGGATTGTTATGCATATGGGACCCTGATGTTTTTCAACTTTCAGAATGCTGTAGCAACAAAAACTTCATCTTGCTTTCAGGTACCATTCTGAATTCCTTTGAGTGTGTTATCTTAAATGTCTATGCCCCAAATGATATTATGAGGAGAGGTAAGTTATGGGAGTCCTTGTTGTATTTAAAGTCCATTTTCCCAAAACCATGGTGTCTAGGTGGTGATTTCAATGAGATCAGAAATTTGGGGGAAAGAATAGGAAGCTCAAGGAGGGATAGGGGCATGAAAGAGTTTAATGAGTTCATAGATAGATGGGAGGTGAATGATCTGCCCATGGTAGGGAGAAAATTTACTTGGTATAATGCTCATGATGGCCACAAATGGAGTAGAATTGATAGATTCCTTCTTAGCCCTGAGTGGATTGAAAGATATAGATACAAACTGTGGGGACTGCCTAGGTTGGTTTCAGATCATTGCCCGATAGTGCTTATGGAAGATGAGAGGGACTGGGGTCCTAAACCTTTCAAATTCTTAAATGCCTGGTTATTGCATCCACAATTCACATCTTTTGTGGAGAATACATGGAAGGAGTTACAGATTCAAGGGATTGCTGGGGTCATTCTGCTAAGGAAATTACAAGCTTTAAAGATGGTACTAAAACAATGGAATAAAGAAGTATATGGTAATACTGCAGCTCAACTAAAAGCATCAGAAGATAAACTGAATACACTTGATTTGAGGGCTGAGGTAAAACCTCTGGAGGATGCTGAAATCAAACAAAAAAGTGAGGCAAGGAATGAGATGTGGAGATTAAGTAGAATGCTGGAATAGGAATGGCTTCAAAAGTCAAGGCTCGACTGGAATATGAAAAGGGATAGGAACACAAGATATTTTCATGTCATGGCTACTAGTAGACAAAATAGAAATGCCCTCAACTCCATTGTTGTAGGGGAGGTGGCAATTGAGGAACCAATTCAGGTCAAAATTGAGGTATGGTCACATTTTACAAACCAGTTTTCAAAAGAGTGGAGACTTAGACCTGTAATAGGTGGGGAGTTTAAAAGTGTAAGGCAAAGTGATTCATTTCATATACTAGAGTCAGAATTTTCAGCAATGGAGGTTTGGGAAGCCGTCAAGGACTGTAATGGCAACAAAGCCCCGGGGCCAGATGGTTTCAACTTGCTATTTTTCCAGAAGTTCTGGAAGGTGCTCAAAGAAGATGTGATGCTCTTTTTCACAGATTTTCATGACAGGGGCAGATTGGCTAAAGGCTTTAACAGCTCTTTCATCACCCTTATACCTAAGAAAGTTGATGCAGCCAACTTAAGTGAGTTTAGACCCATTAGTCTTATAGGGTCAGTGTATAAAATACTTTCCAAGGTTCTTGCTAGTAGACTAAAAAAAGTCATGGCAGATGTAATTGGTGAAGCACAATCAGCATTCCTTGGAGGTAAAAACATACTCGATGGGGCTTTGATTGCAAATGAAATAGTGGATGGGTGGAAAAAAACCAAGAGAAAAGGGCTGATTTTCAAGATTGATTTTGGGAAGGCTTATGATTCACTCAATTGGGAATTCGTATTCTCAATGCTATCTAGCTTTGGCTTTGGAGCAAAGTGGATCTCTTGGATAAAAAGTTGTCTCTCTTCAGGTAGAATCTCCATCCTCGTTAATGGCTCACCAACTAAGGAGTTTAGTCCTGAAAAAGGTCTCAGACAAGGGGACCCACTATCTCCCTTCCTATTCAACTTAGCTGCAGAAGGATTGAACATGTTACTGATGAGAGCTAGGGAGTTGGGGTTGCTAAAAGGAGTAGTTTTTGGTGACAATAATGTGGTTGTGTCACATCTTCAATTTGCAGATGATTCTTTGTTGTTTTGTGATGCTGTATGGTCAGAAGTGCTTAATTTAAAAAGGATCCTTAGGTGTTTTGAAATTGTTTCAGGGCTTAAAATAAATTACCACAAAAGTGTAATTTGTGGGTTTGGTATCTCTGAATCTGTGCTCCATGAGTTTGCAGGTATGCTAAACTGTAAGGTTAAGTCAGCACCAATCAAGTATCTGGGGTTGCCATTGGGAGCAAGCCCCCATAGAAAGGTGATCTGGAAGCCTGTCTTGGACAGGATAAAGCACAGGCTTGCTGGTTGAAAGAGGAGATTTCTCTCTTTTGTAGGAAGATTAACACTAATTAAATCAGTGTTATCTAGTCTGCCGGTCTACTATCTCTCTCTGTTCAAAATTCCAGAAGGGATAGCAAAAGAAATTAAAAAGTTACAAGCCTCATTTCTGTGGGGTGGAGCTGAACTTAAGAGAAAAGTTCATCTAGTGAGATGGGATGAGGTAACTAAAAGTACTAAGCAAGGGGGATTGGGTGTTAGAAGAATCAGAGACATGAATGTTTGTTTATTAATGAAGTGGTGGTGGAGGTATGCCAATGAGGAACAAGCTCTGTGGAAGCAGGTGTTAGTATGCAAATACAAAGCTGAAGGTGGAAATTGGCGTCCAGATATTCATTCAGGAGGTAGAGTATCCAAGATTTGGGGTGATATATTGGGGGCAGCAAATCAAAATGTCAGCCTCCTGCAATTTTATATTAATAACCTTCAGATTAGAGTGGGTAATGGTTGTAGAGTGTCCTTCTGGCATGATTGCTGGACTGGTGGAGCTAGCCTCAAAGAATCTTTCCCTCGATTGTTCAAGTTGTCAAATGAGAAGGATGGGACTCTAAGGGACTATGCTGATAAAAGGGGAAACTCTGAAAATTGGGTGATTAGCTTCAGAAGGGCCTTATTTCAATGGGAACAAGAAAAGCTCCTCAATTTGAACCTCTATACCAGACCTGGTCCTGTCTTGAATCTGCTTGTGAAAGACAGTTAAGGAAATTACAGGCTTTAAAGATGGTACTAAAAAAATGGAATATAGAAGTATATGGTAATACTGCAGCTCAACTAAAAGCATCAGAAGATAAACTGAATGCACTTGATTTGAGGGCTGAGGTAAGACCTCTGGAGGATGCTGAAATCAAACAAAAAAGTGAGGCAAGGAATGAGATGTGGAGATTAAGTAGAATGCTGGAATGGGAATGGCTTCAAAAGTCAAGGCTCGACTGGAATATGAAAGGGGATAGGAACACAAGATATTTTCATGTCATGGCTACTAGTAGAAAAAATAAAAATGCCCTCAACTCCATTGTTGTAGGGGAGGTGGCAATTGAGGAACCAATTCAGGTCAAAATTGAGGTATGGTCACATTTTACAAACCAGTTCTCAGAAGAGTGGAGACTTAGACCTATAATAGGTGGGGAGTTTAAAAGTGTAAGGCTGGTAAAGGAATCAACAAAGAAGATGGTGAAGAGGGTGTTAGCTCCAATACTAAAAAGATGTTACAGTCAACTGCAGAGAGCAAGAGGGAGGGAGAAGAAGCTGACAAGGATGGGGAGGTGGAGGCTGACATGGTAAAAAAAAATCATACGGTAAAAGGTGATTCTACTTCTAAGCTGAAAGAAGGAAGTGAGGGGGAGGTAGGTGACAGTTGTATTCCAATATCAGTGGTGAAAGAGACTGAAGAGTGCATAGGGAAATCAACTGAAATAGGTTCAGGCGTGGGTGACACAATGATGGAAGTGGAAGGTCTACAGCAGCCACAGCTACAACCGTGCAGTCATGCTTTGGAAATAGGTGCTGAGATTCAAAAAGAGGATGGGCAGGTAGCCATAAAAGGCTTTATCAGAAGCTTAAGTGAAACCCAGAAGTTAAGGCCTGGAATTCATTTGGAGGTTGATTTGGGCCAAGAACATCTAAATTCCCAGCCCATTGAGCTAGTCCATTGCACGTCCAGTAGTAATGAAGGTGGACTCAAAGGGGAGGGTTATAATTCAAACTCCAATGATACAATCTGGTGTGAATAATTCTTTCATCACTTTGATCCCAAAAATTGAATGCCCAACTAATTTATCAGATTTAAGACCAATTAGTCTTATTGGGTCTTTGTATAAGGTTGTAGCTAAGGTTTTGTCACATAGAATCAAGAAGGTGATGCCTAGGGTGGTGGGAGAGGTTCAATCAGCGTTTTTGGGAGGTAGAAACATTTTTGATGGTGTACTCATTGCGAATGAGATTGTTGATTGGTGGAAGGGGAGTCGGAGAAAAGGGTTGATTCTCAAGCTGGATTTTCAGAAGGCATATGACTCTGTCAGTTGGGAGTGTCTTGTATCTATGATGGAAAATTTTGGGTTCGGGGCTAGGTGGAGAGGGTGGATCAAGGAGTGTGTAACATCGGCCAGAGTGTCTGTGTTAGTGAATGGCTCCCCTACGGCTGAGTTCTTTCCTGAAAAAGGCCTTAGGCAAGGTGATCCGTTGTCTCCATTCCTTTTCAATTTGGTAGCTGAAGGGCTGAATTTGCTAATGGATCGAGCCAGATCTCTGGGGCTGGTCAAGGGAGCTGTAGTGGGCAAAGATAAAGTGGTGGTTTCACATCTCCAATTTGCTGATGATACAATAATTTTTTGTGAAGCCAATATGAAGCCGTCAAGGACTGTAATGGCAACAAAGCCCCGGGGCCAGATGGTTTCAACTTGCTATTTTTCCAGAAGTTCTGGAAGGTGCTCAAAGAAGATGTGATGCTCTTTTTCACAGATTTTCATGACAGGGGCAGATTGGCTAAAGGCTTTAACAGCTCTTTCATCACCCTTATACCTAAGAAAGTTGATGCAGCCAACTTAAGTGAGTTTAGACCCATTAGTCTTATAGGGTCAGTGTATAAAATACTCTCCAAGGTTCTTGCTAGTAGACTAAAAAAAGTCATGTCAGATGTAATTGGTGAAGCACAATCAGCATTCCTAGGAGGTAGAAACATACTCGATGGGGCTTTGATTGCAAATGAAATAGTGGATGGGTGGAAAAAAACTAAGAGAAAAGGACTAATTCTCAAGATTGATTTTGAGAAGGCTTATGATTCACTCAACTGGGAATTCCTATTCTCAATGCTATCTAGCTTTGGCTTTGGAGCGAAGTGGATCTCTTGGATAAAAAGTTGTCTCTCTTCAGCTAGAATCTCCATCCTCGTTAATGGCTCACCAACTAAGGAGTTCAGTCCTGAAAGAGGTCTCAGACAAGGGGACCCACTATCCCCCTTCCTATTCAACTTGGCTGCAGAAGGATTGAACATGTTACTGATGAGAGCTAGGGAGTTGGGGCTGCTAAAAGGAATAGTTTTTGGTGACAATAATGTGGTTGTGTCACATCTTCAATTTGCAGATGATTCTTTGTTGTGTTTGTGATGCTGTATGGTCAGAAGTGCTTAATTTAAAAACGATCCTTAGGTGTTTTGAAATTGTTTCAGGGCTTAAAATAAATTACCACAAAAGTGTGATTTGTGGGTTTGGTATCTCTGAATCTGGGCTTCATGAGTTTGCAGGTATGCTAAACTGTAAAGTTAAGTCAGCACCAATCAAGTATCTGGGGTTGCCACTGGGAGCAAGCCCCCATAGAAAGGTGATCTGGAAGCCTGTCTTGGATAGGATAAAGCACAGGCTTGCTGGTTGGAAAATGAGACTTCTCTCCTTTGCAGGAAGATTAACACTAATTAAATCAGTGTTATCTAGTCTGCCGGTGTACTATCTCTCTCTGTTCAAAATTCCAGAAGGGATAGCAAAAGAAATTGAAAAGTTACAAGCTTCATTCCTGTGGGGTGGAGCTGAACTTAAGAGAAAAGTTCATCTAGTGAGATGGGATGAGGTAACTAAAAGTACTAAGCAAGAGGGATTGGGTGTTAGAAGAATCAGAGACATGAATGTTTGTTTATTAATGAAGTGGTGGTGGAGGTATGCCAATGAGGAGCAAGCTCTGTGGAAGCAGGTGTTAGTCTGCAAATACAAAGCTGAAGGTGGAAATTGGCGTCCAGATATTCATTCAGGAGGTAGAGTATCCAAGATTTGGGGTGATATATTGGTGGCAGCAAATCAAAAAGTCAGCCTTCAACAATTTTATATTAATAACCTTCAGATTAGAGTGGGTAATGGTTGTAGAGTGTCCTTCTGGCATGATTGCTGGACTGGTGGAGCTAGCCTTAAAGAATCTTTCCCTCGATTGTTCAAGTTGTCAAATGAGAAGGATGGGACTCTAAGGGACTATGCTGATAAAAGGGGAAACTCTGAAAATTGGGTGATTAGCTTTAGAAGGGCCTTATTTCAATGGGAACAAGAAGAACTCCTCAATCTGAACCTCTTTACCAGTCCTAGTCCTGTCTTGAATCTGCTTGTGAAAGACAGAGTTTTGTGGTTAGCTTCCAAATCTGGTCAGTCTTTTGTCTCAACCTTATACAAGCATACTGATGTTGAGCATGGTGAAGTCAATAATTCTAGCAGATTAGTGTGGATTAAGTACCTTCCACCTAAAGTTCAATTTTTTGGATGGCTCGCATGGAAGCATAAGGTAAAAACTTCAGTGTTCTTGCACAGAATTGGTGTGCTGGAGGATAGTGCTACCACTGTCTGTATTTTCTGCAAAGCTGAACAAGAAACAGTTGAACAAGTGCTTATCTGGTGCCCTTCGATCTGGAGAGTTTGGACTGGTCTCCTGCAATGGTGGGGAGCCCTTTGGGTAGTGCCTCAAACTATTGATGGCTTACTGCAGTGGTGGGCTGGAAGCAAGGTCATGAAAGCTGAAAAAATAATTTGGAATGCTATCCCCTTGGTGGCTCTCTAGTCCATTTGGAAGACAGGAACGAGTGCATCTTCCAAGATACTCAACCTAACATGGAAGAACTTCTTGAAGTTATCATTATTAGGCTTGCAATCTGGTTAAAATCCACGTTCTCGGATCTTCCTTTTTCTGTAACTGATTTTTTGCATAATCTGGAGCAAATCAGATTTTGTTTGGGTAGGAGAATGTAAGGTTGTATTATCTAAAGGGTCTGTTCTGTTCTATTATGATGGCTGCTGCTGGTGGCCTGAAATGGTATGGTTTGGCCTGGTGCTGCTTTGCTCAAGGGTTTGTTCTGTTCTATTATGGTTTGGCCTGGTTTTCTTGTCTGCTGTCTGTTTTTGTCTATTTTTGTATGCTGTTATCTGCCAGTGCTTACTACTGGCAACTTAGTGGTGCTCTGTATGCTCTGGTTGGTTGGTTGTTGTGTGCCCGTCTTGGGTAAGTTTGGGTGTGGTCCTGCAGGTGGATGGATAAGTTTGGCTGTTATGTCCTGCAGTAGGCTTTCTTATGCCAACTCAAGGGCTGTGATGGGCTGAATTGGTGTGTGAGTCCTGGGATTGTTTCAGGTAGAACAAAAATTCTGTTGGTTGCTTAAGGACCTCTGTTAATAGTGGTGATAATAGAGAGAGGTTCGAGAGTGTTATGCTGGGATTTGGTGCTTGCAAGGTCCTTTTGTATTTGGTCGTTTCTCGTTGGTCTCTCACCAACTCTGGGGGTGCTAGCAAATGATAGGATGAGCAAGTTCGTGCCAACCTCGTTGGGATGATCTAGCCCATTGTGATGCCTTTGCACCTCCCTCTTGTCTTTATTGATGTAATTCGCTTTGTACTTTGTACTGGTTTTATTCCATCAATAAAATCTTCTTTTTGCTGTTCAAAAAAAAAAAAAAAAACATAAGTAAAGTCTCACAATGCTCAAGACTATTGAATAATTATTCATTGTATTTATAACCTTACTGACATTCAAGAGTTGGCAAGCAAGCAAAAATTAATGATATAGACAGTTTATAAAGGAGGAATTTATTTACATAAAGCATTTGAAACTAAGTCTGAGCATCCGCAAAAACAACAGTTACATGTGATGACGGAGAGAATTAAAAAAAAATGAAAAGAAAAGAAAAAGGGATACAACACATTGCAAGTACATTACAATCATAACTACCCATCTATCACTTATTGCAAGATACTAGAGAACATAGTGATTGTATGAAGGTGAGTCCAAGGAGAATAACAGCCACAATAATAGATCCAGGGAGTATTGCAATAGTTCTGCTTCAAGGTTGCCTTCCACATGTGGCTACGAATTTTGCAGTAGTCGTTTAACTCTTCATGAAGTTTAGTAAAATAATATTCCTTACTGATGACAACTTCTTTGCCAAGCCCGTTAAAGAGATTTGACACATCACTGTTGTTACCTAAGCAGTTCTCAATAATTTTGGCTTTAACAAGTAATTCAACATCCTTGGAAGTCTTGATGAGGAAACCCATAATCGCGGTATAATCAGCAAAATACCGAACAGTACAATGACATTGCTCGTAGGCAATTATGTTTCGTAGAGAACTTTCTGTCCAATCATATATTTCTGTACGTGGGATTTCCAAAACATTGCCCCTGAATTTTATGTCAAATAAATTTTTGCTTGAACTTACCTCAAACTTCACTCCAGCCTCATGAAGCTCTGTTGCACTTGGTATGTCAAATTTGCTTTCAGTCTGTTGCAAACTTTGCCTTGGTATGAAACTTCCTAGGAAAGCAATGAACTGATTTACTTTTGAAGGATTTTTCTCCTCTGGAGGCTGCGATTTTTGCTTTGGCATGAGACAAATTCTTAATAAATCAAGGACATGTTTTATTTCTGAAGGGTTAATATGCTCTGGACCTAAAAGTTCTCGTATTTGCAGGGAAGACACAAACCACTTAATGGTGAGGATGACAGGGTCGGGTAAGGTTTCATTTTGGCTAAATTGAAAGCCCACCTGTATGTTGGTCATTTTTAAAAGATCTTGGAGAACAAAAAACGGAATTTGATTTTCAAGCAGTAATAAGTCATCGTTTATATAGAAAATCATCCATGGTTTCCTAAATATACGATCATTTGGAGTTCTTAGATCATCAAACCAGCACCTTAATAGGACTTCAATGATGAAGGCAGCATCCACAAGAATAATTTCCAAAAACATTTCGCTTTTGATGTTGATTGTTTCAACATAACATGCGCGAATTTCTTTTTCCTTTTCCTCCATAATCATGACCAATTCCACCAAACTCTTTCCACTTCGCTGCATAAAATCATTGAAGTACCTCAACTTGTGCTCTTCCATGTCTTTTAGGCCTTCTTTGCCATGGTGAAGCGGCCCAATTGAGACTGTGCGAGGAGTATAGGCCTCTTCATTGATATTTTTAAGTGTCCTGGGCACTTTATATATACAACATTCAGGGGATGGGAAAGACAACTTATCTAACTTCTCCTTAATAGATTTCACTAGTCCCTCCATATCAATTGAAGCATCGCCATTTCCGCTGTAATTCATGACCAATTGTACCCTGTAATTCATGTGAAATTATTTAATGGTCGTAAGGGTCGTTTGTTTCATGGGATTGAGGTATGGGATTGGATTTCATATCCAATAATTTACTAATCCATTGTTTGCTTAGTTTAGTGACAGTCGGACTAATAGTCAAATATACATAATTTCTAGTTAAATAGTCTAACGACTATTTATTTAGGACTAACGGTCCATTATGTCGTGCCATTTTCGTATCATGTCATATCCGATTCTTGTTCAAAACAGTCTAATACTAATACGGCCTATTTAATTAAACGTGCCAATTATCTTGACACAAATTTGACCTACTTATAATCGTGTTAACCCTAACACAATAGGCTTAATACGATTACCACTTATTTAAAAAAAAAATATATATATATATATATATATTTCACATCACATGCATAAGAATAACTTGTTTAAATATTGACACACAGTAATAATATATATGTCAATATCTATGTAAATAAATCCATCTTTTTATTTTTTTTGGGTCACGTCAATCAATATTTCCTCTCTATTTTTCTACACATCCTTTTATAAAAAGTCAAAAAGTACACTTATTTAGGACATCCCAAACCACCCTAAATCAAACAGAGTGAATAATAACTATAATACAAAAATATTAATAAACTAATTAAATCAAACAAAGATAACAAAAATTGTAACACAAAAAATATTAATAAACTACAAAATATATTATAATTGTCAATCATGTTGACTCACCATTGCAACTTGTATGCCAGGAAAAATTTTAAAAAAAAATTAAAAAAAAACGTTTTATAGCTTTACTTGATTGAAGAGTTTTTCAAGATTTTGAGAGAAGCAGAGAATTTATCAAATCACCGCCAATAATCGATTTATCATTAATTTAGGGTTGCATTTGATTGTGTATGTATTATATAAAGATCTAAGTTTTAATCTAATCAAGGAGAATGAATTACTCAAGATCTTATGATTACTAAATTTAGGTTGTATTCGAGTTATATACAAGTCGATAGTGAGTACGTGTCAATGTGTCGGCACAAATTTTTAAGCTAGTCAAACGTGTTTATTTCGGATTTCACGTAATCAACCTAAACACGACCCATTTAATTTTTTTAATTTCCGGGTTGTGTTATATTCGGGTTTAAGTAAAAAAAAAAATGATTAACTCTAACCCTCTAATTACATGTACAATTCGAATCGTGTTAATGAGTTAATAGCATCTTTATCCGAACCGTCTATTAACCAATTTTTCAGAAATTCCATTTCTGATAATTGCTAAATTACCACCCCTAGAGTATTGTCTAACACTTCTGAATGTCACTTGATTACACAGGACTGATTCCTAAATGTAGAAAATTACGTAATGGTGTGACTTTGAGGGTATTGGACAATGTCCCAACAAGATCGCCAAATAATTTTTGATAAGTGATAGGTCTTGAAAGTGTTAATGAAAGAACTTGATTTCAACTTGATTTTATGAGTTGATGCAATTTTTATAATTATAAAAATAAGGAAATTGGAGTTGATGTGAGTATACATCTACATTCACATAATTTTATTCCGTGAATCTCTCTAATTGGGATTCGTACCAGCAAGAGTTTACGATAAGGTTATAATGAAAATTTGATTAATGCCTAATCAAATTTAATTGGAATAGGAAAAATAAAAAGATCGATAAGTGTATAATGAAAAGTAGGGGTGGCTATTTATTCATACTAACCACATTATGACACTAAACGAGTCAGACTACTGTCAAATTCGTATAACTTGAAATTAATATGAATAAAATATTTAATGAAGTACTAGTCATACATTTTAATATTATTTAAGACATTGAAATCCTATATGCAATCCTATATCTAGTTTATATTTTAATTTATTATTTTGCAATCAATGTAGTAAACAAAAAATAAATAAATAAATGAGTTTTAGTTTTTTGAAATTGGATAAATAAAATTGAGTCAAAATTAAACATTTTAATGAATGATTGAGATTAATTTCATGAAATTTAATTATGAGAAAAACAAAAGTTAATGCACTTTATATTTTTTGACTAAGGGTTGAAATTTTGACATGATTCATTAACATCATACAAATCCAAAATGAAACGACATGGATTGAATTAGTATTGAGAGAATTTTAACACAAATTTGAGATAACATGACACAAACACAATTAACATGAAATAATTCTCATCTGTCATAAAAAGGTAAGAAAAGTCATTAATCATGATGCTTAGAAGATTCTATTTCTTGCAAAACGTTGCACTTACTATCTTTGGTGACATGTGCTTGAGTCACAAAAATAGTTTCTCTTAGAATTTAGGTAAGACTCCTTCTGAAACCCTACTTTAATGAGAGTTTTGTGCATTGAACTACCTTTTAATTACTGAAGCATGGAAAAGAAATTCGGTACATAGGTCGAGTGTAATTTTGGTCCAGCCCGGCCCATTCAGGCTCGTGCCAAGCCGGGCCCATGTCGGGCCTTCCAGGCTCCTGCTTGGGCCGGCCCATGGGCTAGAAAACTAGGCCCAATCCCAGGCCCAAGGATATTAGGGCTTTGAGCAGGCTAGTGGGCTGGGCCCCTGGGCCTAGGCCTGGGCTCTAGCTTTGGGTGAGCCTAAACAATTTTTTTAATTTTTTTTTAATTTTTCCACCAAAATTTTATTATTTTTCATTAAAATAACACTGGGTCTCGAGCGAGCCGAGTGGGCTGAGCCTCAGGCCGGGCTTCTGGGTGGGCCTTCAGCGGGCCAATGGGTCGGGCCACAGGGCAGGTCAATCGGACCGAGCTTCAAAACGATGGTCCAAGCCCTGGACAAGGCCTTAGACTGGCCTTAGGCCCGGGCCTAAACGAGCCTTAACGGATCGAGCCCACCTCGGGCCGCCCGCGGGCCACGGGCCAAAATTACACCCCTATACATAGGTGCAGCTATATGTTTGGTGTCTCTTGAGACAATAAAGCTGAGGCCATCCAAACCATTAATCAACCTTAAACCCAAAGGCCTTGTGTTCATCTCCAGTAAACAACAATTTACTTGCACAATTCTGGCTTGTTTTGGCAACTCAGCTAAAAGCCGTTTTTTTAGCTTTTTCACTTTTTTAGGTCATATTACTAAGTCAAAAAGTTAGCTTTTAACCTACTTTTCAAAATAAGTCATCATTTCATTTTGTTTGAGAAATCTGATTTGATATGACCACATTGTGTTGCACAAACGAGAAAGAAGAGATTGGTGGTCCAAGAACAACATGAAGTTGGGGTTGAGCTTGCAGACACTACAACAAAAGGCAGATTTCACGACTAAAATTGGATTTTTTGTCGGTGAAAGTAGTAGAATTGGTGACTAAAATGGAATTAGTCGCCAAAATTGATCACTTTTGCCGACTAAAAGAGTTCAGTCGCCGAATATAAGGGTTTTAGCGACTAGAAGTCAGTTTAGTCGCTGAATATAGGGTTTTACCTACTAAAGGTTTTTTAGTAACCAAAAGTGACAGTTTTTAGCAACTAAAATAATTTAGTAGCCAAAAGTATACGTTTTGGCGACTAAAAAACAGTTTGGTCGCCGATTCTACGTGTTTTGGCGACTAAAAACAGTTTGGTCGCTGAAAGTGAAACTTTTTGGCTACTAAAAAAAATTAGTAGCTAAAAACAGTCAATTGGCGACTAAAATTCAGTTTAGTAGCCAAAAGGGGACGTTTTTGGCGACTAAAAACAGGTTTAGTCTCCCAAACTGGTTTTTTTTAGGTGAGAATGAATTTTTTTAGCGACAAAAAACTAATTAGTAGCCAAAACTATACAATTGGCGACTAACATTGCATGTGTTTGGATCAGACGTTAATCCGAACACGAGAAAAATGGGATGTTTCATACTCAAAGTGATGAAATGTGCCACTTTTCTTAGTCACCATTACCCTTGATCATGCATGATAGGGTGATGGTTTTGTTGAGTCTTGTTTATGCACTCATTGAAGTTGTACAAGCTTGGTTCTTTGGCCATCATGCATTGAAAATGCTTGGTTGATGGTTTAGGAACCAAGAGTGGCACTCCTTTGAACTTGTGTAATGATAAGGAGGGTAATAGTACACACACTCCTTGAGAATACACTACTTTGCCTCTGTTTGCTCTCTATTGCAGCAAAAAAAGGGAAGTTCAGGAAAGCAGTGGCCAACCGGCCACATGTACCAGCCAACCGGCCACCAATGGTAGACGACAGCCACCATTGGTAGCCAACCGACTAGAAATGAATTTTGCATTAGTGTGTTCCTGAGTTAGAGTAGAGGCATTTTGGGAGTTGGCACAATTTTCAGAGATATTCGATGGCAAGGCGATGGTATTTTCGAGAGGAGCAACTGAGCATGCATGCGTCCCTCGCCCTCGAGGCCATTTAATCACTTTTATTAGCTTAGAATAAGTTAGCTAGTTCCTTCATACATGTGTTGTAATGAATTAGCTTAATTCGTTTTGTAATATTTTAATTGGCTTAGCATAGCTAGTTATTCAATTGGTTTGTAATAATTAGTTAACTATAATAGTTAATTAGTTTTGATTTGTAATAATTAGCTTAGCTTAGTGTAGCTTAGCTTATTTATTCGAACCCTTCGTCGTGAGGGCGCAATGTTGTAATAAGTGTGCGTGCGTGTGTGCATGTCTTCCAACCCCACATCTTTCTCCTTTTTATTTAATCACTTTCGATGGTTAGATTAGGGTCATTTTCAATTAGCATACCTTATGCTTGCATGTTTGCATCCATCCATTTGTATTGCATGCACCGAGGCTCGGCGCATCATTCAAACTGCATTGTATTTCAATATCTTCAATGAATACATGTTTAAAAGCATGCTATCAAATTGTTGTAAACAAACATGTTAGGTAGCGGAGCCTATCTTAGTTGCATTATTGCATGCGTTGCATTAGACACTTAACATAGTTAGGATCATGCACCTTTCTAACTAGTTTTTGTTTTGGCTTGGAGTACTCGGTAAGTTTTATGCTT